ATTTGGACACGACCATCGTCGGGCATAAACCGGTCCGTGGCACAAAAAAGATTGGGGACCGCTGCTTTAAAGTACAGCCCCTCCCCACACACCCAGATTCCAGGCGTCACTAACACTTTTGTCCGGAATATTCCACATCAGGTTTCCCACATGCACGTGTTGTTGGTAAAATCACACTCTCGAGAGGTTTTTTTGCACCATCCAGCTCCTGCGTCCTTCCCGTGTGCTGTGCAGAAAGCATCGATGCCCTTTCCCCCCTTTAATTAAATTGTCATTTAAGTTGAACTGGACAAAAGCCCAGCTGGGATCTTGCGCCCGTGCTCGGTGTTGGTCCAACATCCTGACGGGTCGCATGAGTCACTCTGTAGGCATGAAAGCAAGCTCTGGCAATAAAAGTCACAGTTTCTGGGGTTAAGGTAGAGACCCAGAGCCAGAACCCGTGAGCGAACTTTCATGTCATATTTCGTTATTAAAAGTAATATTTGGCTCCCTGTGAACATTTCTGGCACTCGGGGTCACGATTGTACCCGTTATTGATTTATCGTCACGCACGCCTGTGGCATATTTTTGCACGAGTGCTGTTTTCTATAAAAGCCTTCACCCACCCTTCTCTCTCTGCTCATTACTGCAGGAGCTGCCAGGCTCTCTCTACCTCGCTCTCTTTGAAGGTCTGTCACTGTTTTCATCATCATTATCCTCTTCCTGCTCTCGTCGCTTCCCCTTAACTAGACTCTGAAGGCCTGCCATCAACTTCAGTAGCACTGACTTTCTCTCCAAGGAGGACTTCTAATCTGAGGGCCTGCCATCGTCTTCATCAATAATCTCCCGCCCTCCTCCTGTGAAGACTGATGCTCTTTTGTCTGTTCTGTTGTATGAATTTGTAGGAGTTTGACTTTCAGAGCATAAAATTCAAAGGAATCACACAAACGTGACTTAGTAAAGTTTACGGCTGGAAATGTTCTGCAAATTAAACTTCTGCAAATTGGTGATGTGGTTGTGACGGCTGCCACATTTTCATTTATTTTAAAGGAGAGGGGAAGGCTTTATCAGGATGGGAAACACATCGCTGTCAGTTTCCTGTTGTTTTTAGGTGGTGCTTGTGTGCCGGGGCTGATTGTTTGTTGACTTTGTTAATGTGCGGCTCCTATAGGCTAAGATAGTGTTGCTGAGTGTTGATGCTGGGAATGAAAAGCATCAGACCTGAAGGTAATTATTATGAAATGAAGTCTCTCTCGGTCTTACCGTCTCTGCTGCTCGGTCTCCCCTCGCGCTGATGTAGCTCAGTCGATAATGTCGAACATTTCTGGGGTCGACGGGCTGCCAGGACACCCGCATGCTGAACGTCGTTTCTTCATCGATCTTCATGCCTCTCACCCCGTACCGAGGAGCTGAAGGGTCGGACAGAGAAACTCTGGCTGCAGATCAGTGACTCAAAGATTAACTCGGCGAAGCGTGAAGCTGTCACAGCCTATCTCAGAAAGTGATGGTATCAAAATGTCATCATTCTGGCATTTAATTTGCTCAGATTTTCATATCACATCAGTGTCTTCGGAATATCGAAACGTTCCCTCGGAGAACATATCGGAACAACGCGCCCTCCCTCTGATAATATAGGAACAGATTTGCAGACGCTATCAGTGAAACAGGAGGAGCAAACTTCTTATCTGATTTACAGTTTCAGAATTTTGATCTTATAATATCAGCATTTATAGCGTCACTTACACGAAACCTTTTTCCCAATGCTGCCATTTCAACACAAACCACAGTGTTATCACAC